GGCCATACAGATACGGTCGGAACTTTGTTATCGCCCAAATAACAGCAAGACATTCCTTCTCCGTGGTCGAGTAGTTAGTTTCCGCAGATGACAAAATGCGGCTAGCATAAGCGATGGGACGTTCAGCGCCGTCTTGCCGCTGGACGAGTACTGCACCAAGACCGATGTTGCTACCGTCAGTGTGAAGTTCGGTGGTGGCATCTTCATCAAAGTGCCCTAGTAAGGGTTCACTCTGAAGGCACTGCTGAAGCTGGGAAAAAGCGGCTCTCTGCTCTGGACCCCACACAAAAGGAGTATCCTCCTTCGTTAAACGGGTAAGGGGTTCAGCGATGTTGGCAAAGCTCTGGACAAAGCGCCTGTAGTAGGCGCAGAGAGCCAAAAACCGGCGCAAATCCCGTTTGTTCGAAGGTGGAGGAAATTCAGCAACAGCCATGGTCTTTTCTGGGTCTGGTCTAATGCCATCGTGACTGATAAGGTGGCCGCGGAACTTTAGTTCTTCGTAGCCGAAATGACACTTCTCCGGTTTTAGAGATAGGCCTGCGGATCGAATAGCGACGAAGACGGACTGAAGTCGTTGTAAATGTTGCTCAAATGTTTTGGAAAAAACAACGACGTCGTCTAAATACACGAGGCAGGATTCCAACTTCAGATCAGACAGGACGGTGTCCATCATCCTTTGGAACGTTGCCGGTGTAGAGCACAATCCAAATGGTAACACTTTGAATTCGTAGAGGCCATCGGAAGTTATGAATGCTGTTTTTTCCCTGTCACGTTCATCGACCTCGATCTGCCAGTAGCCGCTACGTAAATCCATTGAGGAAAAATATCGGGCATGTCGAAGTCGATCCAGTGAATCATCTATGCGTGGGAGAGGGTAGACGTCTCTCTTCGTCACTTTGTTGAGCTTCCGGTAATCGACGCAAAATCGAAGAGTGCCGAGTGCCGTCTTTCTTTTTAACAAGTTTGACGGGTGACGCCCATGGACTGTTCGAGGGTTGGATGACGTCGTCGTCGAGCATCTGTTTCACTTGAAAACGTATTGCCTCTTGTTCTTTTTGCGACACGCGGTAGGCGTGCTGTCGTACAGGCCGTTCGGTAGGGTCCGTTATAATGCGGTGCTTCACGGTTGGGGTCTGCTTGATTTTGGAGGTGGACGCAAAGCAATCACTATACGTACGTAAAATCATGCGTATCTGCTGTTGCAGCGCACAGGATAGCTGGCAATTCACGTCAACTGTACTGGCTAATGCAGTGTTACCTTCGGCAGCAGTGGCAATCGGATCGATAGTGGAACATTCTTCGTCATCGATGGCTTCAAAGTTCGCGATTGCTGTTCGCTTTGCCAAGTGTTGGTACTGGCCGCCGAAATTCGTGATCAGAAGCTGAGTCCTCCGATGTTTCAATTTGACGATAGCACGCGCGACACAAATCTGCCGAGCCAAGAGCACCGAGAGGTTAGTTTCCGCGATGCCACTACTCTTGTTGTCACAGTCGCTCTCCACCGTTACCAACATACTGGCTCGCGGTGGCAGTGCGATGGTGTCTTCAGCAATTCGAAGTGTTGTGGTCGGCGCAACTGCATCCTTTCGTAGGGCTGTATGGTCGTTAGATAACGTTATGAGCAGGTCGCGAAGGTTAATAATGGCTCCATGCTCGCGGAGAAAATCCATTCCGAGAATCAGGTTTTGGGAGCATTCGCGCAATACAACGAAGGAAACAATGTACGTCGACTCACGAATTTGGAGGCGGGCAGTGCACATTCCTAGCGGTATCAATAGGTGACCTCCCGCAGTCCGGAGGTTGGTTCCATGTCCCCAAGGTGTCGTTACCTTTCTTAGCTGTGCAGCGAGGTCAGCGCTTATAACAGAATAATCGGCACCCGTATCTACCAGAGCGGTCAGCGGGTGGTTGTCGACAAAAACAGAGATACGAGCAGAGACCCGTTTGTCTTTGTCGTCGATGGCACACGTCGGTGAAAGAGTGACTTCGAATGTCGGCAGGCAAATCGGGGGAGGGTCTTGTAACGGTCGATCAACAGCGGCCTCACCCCCAGAGGTCGCTGTTCTTAAATTCTCCGGCGCGGGCTTGTGGATCTAGGCGATCTTCCTGCAAGGACGTCCGCAAAGGTTGATTGTTGGCCAGGTGACGTGGAACGCCGTGGAGATAGTGAGCGGGATTGGCGACGCGGAAGGGTTGAGGATCGTTGGCTTGCCAAGTATTCGGCGATAGCACGGGGCCGCTCACCATCTCTGGGTCGACGAGCATCCGGACGAAAGCCGGGAAGACCCATGTGCCTGTAGGCGCACTCACGGTAGATGTGACCTGGTTCACCACAGTGATAACATAGAGGCCGGTTGTCGGGAGCACGCCATACACTGGATTTCCGTGTAAGGGGTGGGTTGCCGTACTGCAGTGGTCCCGAGTAGAACGACGGTGCCGTCTGCAGAGTGGACGGACGGGACGGATAGCCAACAGCCGGTGCAGGAGTACGTAGAGCTTCCGCGTACGTTAATAGCGGAGCTTCGGCTGAATGCGGGGCCGTCATGGGTTGGACTTCGGCTGCACGCAGAGTCGTCATGGGGTGCACCAGCTGCCGGACCTCTTCGCGAACGACATCCGTTAGAGCAGCAACATGGGGCGGAGAAGACACCACGTGCAGCTTTTGCAGCTCCTCGCGCACAATACTGCGCACGAGCTCCGCCAGGTCTTTTACAGTCGTGACGTCAAGTGTTGGTAGGGCCGACTAGACACTGCCGAAAGACTGCCAGGACGCTCATACTGGTACGAACGCTGCCTTAGCATTCTCTCCATTGTCGTGGCTTCGCGGAGGAAATCCTCTACAGTGCTGGGAGGGTTCCGCACTAGTCCCGCGAACAGCTGCTCTTTCACTCCCCGCATTAGGAGGCGCACCTTCTTCTCTTCCGTCATTGAAGAGTCGGCTCGCCTGAACAGCCGCGTCATGTCTTCAACGAACATGGCAACACTCTCGTTCGGACGCTGGTTTCGGGAATTGAGGAGCCGTTCCGCTTGCTCCTTTCGGTCAGCGCTTCGGAAGGTATTTCGCAACTGGTTGCAAAACTCTGGCCAGGTTGTCATAGTGGCTTCATGGTTTTCGAACCAAGTTCGCGCAGAGTCCTCGAGATAAAAGTAGACATACCGAAGCTTTCGCTGCTCGTTCCACTCGTTGACGCTGCCGCAACGGTTGTAGTCGTCAAGCCAGTCGTCGACGTCCTCATAAGGGTCACCGTGGAATGGCTTTGGAGTACGCGGGACGTTGAAGAACCATGTAGGAGGCAGCGTTGATGTTTCTTGGGTTTGCGTTCCCGCACTAGCCATAGTACTGCCGAGTTGTGGAAATTGTCCGAATTCAGGAGGTAGGCCTAGTTGTCGCCTGCTACGCCGTAGGTCAGCTGGTTCTTCCAAGTCGCGACTAGTGTCGGGACCTTGCTGCTGATTGCAGTGCATACAACACTACCCAGCACCTCCACCAGAAAATGTCACGTGATCACAGAACAACCAGAACGTCTGTTCACAGGAGCAGCACTGGACGTCGAGCCGAACCGAACGTTAGAGCACGAGCACACACCAACCGTCCTCTTCTTCTTTCACACCATGGCACATACTCGCATTGGCATGGCTAAACCTCGTTCCATGCCTGTGGCAATATGTAAAATGTCTGAAATTTCTGATGCTGAAAATTTTGTCCAATTTTTTTAGACTTTTTAGTCCAAAAATGACATTGAATAAAGACCCCACCTATGCCGTTTAAGCTCGAACCAAGAAGATTATACTAAAACCTCCTTGATTCGAACCAGCGCTTTCGCGAGTCAATCCGTTTATGGCCATACCAAAGCACTAGAGACAACTTGGTCGCAATACCAAGTTATATTGCGAAAAAGCGCAACAAAAATGTGAAGGGACCATTGTAATGGTGTAGTGCACTTTTTTGTCGGAACACGAGTTTTCTGACGTCGATACATTTGCTACCATACTAAAGTTTGAAAGGCAGCTTTACAACAGTGCATTTATGGGCGAAGCTTTTTAAAGCGGCACCCATTCGTCCCTCGTAGTAGTGCGTGACATGTCTTACGCTTTGACCTGCAAGGTGGTGCCAGTGGGAGATTTCCCCTGTGCGTTGATAAACAATAAAAAATTTGCAGTATGCGCGTTAACTAAAAGCCGAATTCTCCTGTCTCTCATTTCCCAATAGCAGCCATTGTCATGTACATTGAGCACTATCTGGCGAGAAATGGTTGCTACGTTATACTCGCTGGGCGTAACCTCCTCGGTTTAAGAAAGGTTTAGTGAGCGTTGGGTCGCAGTGCCATGAATACACTGAACTAGTATATACCATGAACTTGTGGTGGTTAAAGGTGGGAAGTAGACACGAAGCGCAAGCCATAAGAAAGTGTGCGTGTGCCACCTCTCGTTCAGTCCTTGGAATGTCCGCTGGATGGCGGTGCGTCTATATGCGGAATATATGATGAAAAGATGCGAGGTGGTGGTACTTGGAGTGTTGACTAGATGGACGAACGGACACACAGACAGATGCATGGACGGACGCACGGATGGCTGCATGGACGGATGGACGCATAGACGAACGCAGGGGTGGATGCATGGACAAACGCAGGGATGGACGCACGGATGGACGAGGGGACGCACCAACAGACGCATGCACGGACGGTCGGATGGACGCACGGATGGTCACACCAACAGACGCATAGACGGACGGAAGCAAGAACGAATGAACGAATGGATGCTTAACCCCACTCTCCATCATTCACCCCGTGGATGTGCTGCCATTTTTGTGCCAAAGGTAGGCATACCAAAAATATGAGGGGGCCCCTGTCAATAGGACGTCTTCGCGAATTAAGTTCGACTAGTTCGAATAGTCAAAATTCCAGTGCAAATTGAATAAAATGGCACATACCATTCGAAAAAAGAATATTCGAGAGTTCGATTATTCGCACACCCTTACTAAGACATATCAGCCAAGGTACCGCTTCAGTTGGCCTTTATTATTCAGATTTAGAGGAAGTGAAAGGAGAAACAGAAACTCTCTGTTCACGTGTGAATGAGCTTCTCGGCGAAGAACAAATAAAAAATAAACAACAGCGTGGACTGCAGATAGCGGAAGTACTGTTGTGGATATTGTACTTCCACCGTCTACAGAATCTACACTGTCTTCAGATTCAAGCCAGAAGCGCGTGGATAATTCCATTCTCGCAAGAGCATCGCCAACCACCTGCTCATAATATTGGTCGAATTTCTGTTTTGCTTTCTCTGTTTTTTTTTTTACATAGAACTGCTAAATTCGGCTTGCCCACGACGTCCGAAGACTCGGATCTGCTCAACGATCATGTTTTTTTTTCTGTCAAGGCTTCGGTGACATTCGTGCAACAGCTCTAACTATACATCTGAATAGCCTTGTTTTACCAGAGGGGGTCGTCAAATCTAAAAGGAAGCTACCATTATCTAAGTTCATCCTTACAATCCAAATTGTGTTGCTTGAGTAATAATGGCTCGCAAGCACACTGTTTTTATCATCGCGGTATGAAGCGCAACCTTTGAGCATCGTTGGCGACAGAGATTACGGCGGGTGCAGTGACGAGAGAGATGGTCTGGCCGTCTTCCGGAAGTACCTTGAACCTCTGAAGCGTTGTTGCCACGTACAGGAAGACCTCCATCAAGGCTAGCGTTTCACCCGGACACTGTCTCCTCCCTGCAAGCGAGGAAATTAGACAACGAGAATATAATAGCATTCGTCTAGGTGATGTTAGATGCACTTGACCCCATCTCCAAATTCTGAATATGGGTACGTCCGAGAAGGTTCTTAAGTGTCAGTAATCAATTAACCACTACTGCGTTCCCTAAATAGTCAAGGTGTGTCGTGCGGGGGAGTTCAAATGGCTAATTGATTAAATTGCTGTAACAGGTTCGCCACGTTCAAGTAGCCCTTCACAATCATCGTAGCACCAGCACCAGCAAGACCCGGCTCGGCTGGCATGCACCACGCGTTCAGGCGCTCCAACAACGAGGAAGAGAAAGATAGTTGGATCTGTGCCACTCGGCTACTCGGACGTGCCGACCATAGTCTTTAGAATCGTGGGCACAAGTTCGCCCTAATAAAGACAGTTGTTTTTTTAACCTGTCGGCCTCAGCATCGCTACATTTCTGGTGGAAGTGCTGGGTATGAATCGAAGCCCCGCGAGCTCAAGACGGCGTAGGCCCGACGACCAGCGTATCAACCCCGTGGAAGTGACTCCTGTACACCAGAGGGCAAGTCGCCGTCTTCGAGGTGACTCACCTGAGTTCGGTCATCTTCACTTCACACCAAGGGGAATTCAAACGATGGATGCCACCACTATGACTAGCCAGGTAACACCGACACAAGTGTTCATTAGCCAACCGCACTAGCCGCCAGTATTCCACGGCGACTCGTACGAAGATGTTGAAGATTGGTTGGACCTGTTCGAGAGAGTAGCGAGCTTGAATGGATGGGACGAAAGAGAGAAGCTCCGTCGCGTATATTTCGCCCTGGAAGACTTCGCAAAGACATGGTTTGAGAACCATGAAACCTCGTTGTCTACCTGGGAAGTATTTCGACGACAAGCGGTGGCTGCGTTCGCGAACATAGACCGGAAAGAAAAGGCGGAGGCAGCTCTTCAATCGAGGAACCAGCACACGAATGAGAGTGCTGCTATGTACATTGAGGACATGGTCCGTCTGTTCAAGCGTGCGGATTACAACATGGCTGAGGATAAGAAGGTGCGCCATCTAATGCGCCGAGTGAAGCAAGAGCTGTTCGCCGTTCTCGTCCGCAATCCTCTGAGCACAGTTGCTGAGTTTTACTCGGAAGCGACGGCCATCGAAAAAACACTGGAACAACGGGCTCGGCAGTACAACCGGAGTCTTAACTGCGCATCTGCACAGGTATCCTCCGGAGGCGTGCGAAACGACGTTGAAGCCCTGCGAGAGCTAATTAGATCAGTTATCAGAGAAGAACTGAGCAGACTGCAAATGCCCCAGACTCCAACTGCACTATCTGTTACGGACGTTGTTTGTGACGAACTGAGGCAGGTGTACGAGAGCCAGAGCGTGAGCTGCAGCCGGTTCGACCTATCCGAACATACTCTGAGGTTGTCAGACAACCCACGGTACACAGCAATGCAGCAGTTGCGATGGCGACGACTCCTCTCCCACCTGCGGCACGCAGCACACCTCGTCCACGGGAACCAACAGCTACCTATCTGCCCCCAGAAGTACGTAGCACACATCACTATGTGGAGCATAGGCCCAGGAAAAGTGACGTCTGGCGTGATCACGAGTGCAGGCCTCTGTGTTTTCATTGTGGGGAAGCGGGTCATCTGTACAGATTCTGTCCTTACCGACAGGCTGGATTAAGAGGCTTCCCGTCGTATGCACCGTGCCTCCAATACGGCGAACGACCAGCGGAGATTGAGGAGTACTTGTCCACGCGCCAGAACTCGCCACCTCTACGCCAACACCGGTCACGGTCACCATCGCCTATGCGCTACCGGTCATCCAGCCCACGTGCACCTTCAAGGCAGCCTGGTCATCGCTCTCCAAGTCCACACCCGGAAAACTGAAGCAAGTGACCTGTGGAGGTGAGGCCGCTGATAACGTCAGTTACGAAGATCCTCCAATTTGGTTTGAGGGTGATGACGGTGTATTTCCGGTAGATGGGTGCAGCAACGAAAACGTTACTTCAAATTTGCGGTGGAGAATGGAAGGATGGGAGCTGAATGCCTTAGTCGACACCGGTGCTGATTTTTCAGTGATAAGTCACAAGATGGTGAAAAAGCTAAACAAAGTTGTGACACAGTGGAGTGGATCGCAGATACGCACGGCAGGCGGTCACATTATTACGCCCCTTGGCAGATGCACTGCAAGACTTGAAATACGGGGCTTTATTTACGTGGCCGATTTCATTGTGCTGCCAGAATGTTCAAGAACTCATTATAGGAATGGATTTTTTGCGAGCTAATGGTGCCGTAATTAACCTGCGTAAGTCCAGCGTGTCGTTTTCGAATGAACGAGCTATACCTGTGGAGGAATCTGAGGAACGACGCCTAACTGCTCTACGCGTTGTTCATGATGACGTAACTGTGCCGCCACGCTGCAGTATAATGGTGCTCGTAGAAAATGGTGCATTGTACAACCGCGAAGGTATAGCGGATACAAATGTAGGGCTGTTTTTGAACAAAGGTGTCTGCGTAGCTAGGGGTCTTGTTCACTTGACGAATGGCCGTGCAGATGTCCTACTCACAAATTTCTACAATGAGCTTCAACACATCACTCAAGGCACGGCTATTGCCTATTTACACGACTTCTGTATTCGCGACTGAACTATGCAGCTTAATGACATCAACCACTCGACCAGTGGCCTGCAACATCGACACATCCGTGACCGTCAATCAGAGCCTTCCGGACAGTCAAAAGAAACAGATTTACGCCTTGGTAAAAGAATTCTCTGATTGCTTTTCAAGTGCCTCGAAGGTCCAGCGCACGTCAATCACGAAACACAGAATTATAACGCAAGACGACACGAGGCCTATATGCCAGCATCCATATCGGGTGTCACAGAAAGAACGGGAAATTATCAAGAAGCAAGTGGAGGAGATGCTTTCGGATGATGTCATCCAGCCTTTGAATAGTCCATGGGCGTCCCCCGTAGTGCTCGTTAAAAAGAAAGACAACACACTTAGATTCTGTGTCGACTACAGAAAACTGTACAGTGTGTAAAGAGGTTTATTGGGCGAACCAAACGGGCAGGTGGGAGATTGGAGATAGCGACAGGACGAGGAAGATGGAGGAGCTCGAGCGCCGATCTCGTGGTGCCTTACTCTGCGATGATGCTCGCTGTTCCCTTTTGTTGTCATCATTCCTTCATTATATTTGCCCCCGTCGAGAAAGATCAAGCCATCCTGGCGATCTAACAAGTAGGAACGAGCGGGTCGAAGTACGGCTTCAAGTGGTCCACGTGAACAATATCGTGTCCACGCCGACGATGGTCACCGGGTGGCGTAAGCGGTTCAATGGCGTAATTGACGGGCGATGTGCGCTCTACCACGCAGTATGGGCCATGGTAATTTGAAAGTAGCTTGGTAGACAAACCAGGTGCACAAGGTGGTACATACAGCCATACAAGGGTTCTAGGGGCAAACTTGGCGGCAGGAGGATGGTCGTCATCGCGGGCCTTTTTCTGGCGTTGCTGGTCAGCCGTAGTAAACTGCTTCGCTAGTTGGTGGCATTCTTCGGCGTGACGGGCGGCTTCAGACACGGTCGTGCACTCAGATACATCTGGTGCGTATGGCAGCAAAGTGTCGATTGTGTGCGATGGTTGACGTCCGTATAGAAGGTAGAATGGAGAAAAGCCGGTGGTGACTTGGGTAGCGGTGTTGTACGCGTAGGTCGCAAACGAAAGAACCAGGTCCCAGTTCGTTTGGTCAGATGCCACATGCGTCGCGAGCATGTCACCCAGGGTCCGATTAAACCGCTCAGTCAGGCCATTCGTCTGAGGGTGGTAAGCAGTACTCATCCGGTGTACAATATGGCACTGACGGAGAAGTGCCTTGATTACGTCGGATAGAAATACACGGCCCCGGTCACTGAAGAGCTCGCGAGGAGGGCCGTGACGCAACACAAACCGATGGAGGATGAAAGATGCGACGTCCTGAGCGGTCGCCGTAGGAAGAGCAGCGGTTTCGGCGTACCGTGTCAGATGATCTACAGCAACGATAGCCCACCGGTTACCTGCTGTGGTCAATGGCAGTGGTCCATAAAGGTCGATTCCGACGCGATCGAATGGGCGGTCAAGGCACGCAAGCGGCTGTAGTGGAGCTGCCCCTGCATTCGGTGGCTGTTTTCGTCGCTGACACTCGTGGCAGCCGCGAATAAACTGTCGAACAAAAGTAAACATCTCACGGCAGTAGTACCGCTTCCTTAAACGCTCGTAGGTCTTGAAGACACCGGCGTGAGCGCATTGCGGGTCGGAGTGAAATGATGCACAGATTGTAGAGCGCAGCTTTCGGGGAATAACGAGCAGCCACTTCCTGCCGTCTGGTGAGTAATTGCGCCGGTACAAGAGGCCACCTCGAATGGTGAAGTGCGAAGCCTGGCGTCGCATTGCTCGAGTGATGGGAAGTGTCGGTACCCCAGATAAGACGTCCAGAAGCGAAGTTATCCATGGATCGTCGCGCTGTGCAGAGGTCATTGTGTCGATGTCAAGAGCGGACAGCGCGTGTTCCATAGAAGATATAGAGGCAGCCTCAGCCGACAGTGGTGATCGTGAGAGCGCATCAGCATCGGCATGTTGGCGGCCGGAACGGTACACGACGCAGATGTCATACTCTTGAAGTCGCAGAGCCCAACGAGCAAGGCGACCTGATGGATCCTTCAGCGACGACAACCAACATAAGGCATGATGGTCTGTAACTACAGCAAAGGTGCGGCCATATAAGTATGGGCGAAATTTCACAATTGGCGAAAGTATGGCTAAGCACTCTTTTTCGGTAACACTGTAGTTTACCTCAGCCTTGTTGAGCGTTCTGCTGGCGTAGGCGACGACATACTCAGGGGATTCAGGCTTGCGTTGAGCGAGAACTGCACCGAGACCGACACCACTGGCGTCTGTATGGATTTCAGTTGCAGCCGTGGGATCATAGTGGCGCAATATAGGTGGTGATGTCAGGAGACGGC